AGATAGATAGATAGATAGATAGATAGATAGATAGATAGATAGATAGATAGATAGATAGATAGATAGATAGATAGATAGATAGATAGATAGATAGATATTGAGATTTTTCTCAGATCTCTAGTAACATGATGAAGAACAGATAATACACACCTCTGACCACACGGGGTCAGCAGAGGATTTCCTGCACTGGACTTCTTTAAAGTTTTCTATCTGCAGTCCTCTGCAAACGCCATCAACTCATGAAAATGTATCCAGTCAAAATGTTTCAAAAGTAAAATTAGGATTTTCAGTCTATCAAAGCAGATCTGGGAGGACTGATCCATGACTTCTGAAACTCTTGAGTTTGGCTTTGATTTTTGACGATGATGTTAACTGACTAAACAGGATGGGTAACGTCCTGCTGTTTTTAAAGACGTTTTTTGTTTGTTTTTTTTACTAAAAATTTTGGATTTTTGTGTTGATTACAAAACCACATTCAAATGGACATTTTCAGGTGAGTCACAGTTTTTATCATATTTGTCTTTCTTTGCCTTATATGTGAAAATGTTCACTGTTTCTATTTATTGCCGTTTTTAAAATTTCTATCTCTTTTTTCTTTTCAGTTGCTGCCAATGTAACGTGAGTATTTTAACAATGTCTGCATCCAGAAGTTCATACCACAGCAGCAGATACTGTGGATCACGGAAGTTCTGATTGTATTTTAAAGCATGTTTCTGCACAAATCTCTGAATTATTAAGGCAACGCACTCCTAATGACAAAGGGTGTATGTGCAGTTTAAGTGCATTCTTTCGTTTTGTAGATAATTGCAAAAAACCTCCAGAATCTCTGATCTATCCAACATTTACATCACAAGAAACTGCTTAAACACAGTGAAGCTTGAAGACAAACTCTATTTCAAATATTTAATGCTTTAATCTGATGCCCAAAATAAATGTTTTTTTTATTTATTTTTTATTTATCTCTTAGCATCCCCTCGGTTTTGATTTCTTGACGTTGTCACAGCTGGTTTTGCTGATTTATGAATGCCCTAAACTAGAAATTATCCCTTTAAGTCATATTAAGTATGATTTAAGTCTCATCATTTCCTTATCTCCCTGTGCATAGTGCCTCATGTCCAGCTGTCAGCCTGACCTGTCCCAAGGAGGACTGCTGACCGCCTTGGATTGACTATTTATGAGGTGACTGGTCAAAGGATGAAGGCATTTCAGGAGCTGATTGGCCTGGTCGGTCTCAGGGCTTCTCATGGCCATAAAAGTTGAACAGCCAAACCCCCGTCCAAGCCCATATATACCCCACAGAGTTAGCTTTTTAATCAGTGACTCCCTCACTGCATCCCAGCCCTTCAGCCAGTCTCTGCCGGCCTCCTCATCATCACTTTGTAGGTGAGAAACTCTTTTACTTAATGCTTAAAGTGAAGCTGATCCTCACAGGAAATACAATTTAGTGAGTCTGGTGCAGATTAATCTTATAACAGGTTAAAAAACCTTCAATATATAAATCTTGAATGAATGTATTCAATAAGAAAATTATTATGTACAGAATTACTGAATTTTTCAATCATAACTGAGGTAATGAGTAAAGTTTTCATATTTTTTGGATGTTTCCTGTTTATATATTATGGTTTTACCATCTTGCACCCTTACATTATGTGCATAAAACTATAAAATCTACATAAAACTACTGTAAGATTAAAAAACAAACTAGATTTCCATATTTATAAATAAACAAGAAACAAGAACAAGAAAGATTTATTGTTTCAAAAATGAGTTTTCCAAACTGGTTAAAAGACATTTCTATCTCGTTTTCACACTGAACATCACAATTAAGCTCCTTCTTATTTTTTTAAATTATTAACATGGTATTAAAACTCGTGATTAATGCACATATAGTTTTATTCAACTGCATTAGAATCTGTAAATAAATCGACTCAAACAGTTATCAGCCTGCAGGGTCAAAGAACTGAAAAATCAGATGGTTCCAGCACATCCACCTGAGCTCACCTGAAAGGCAAAAGGAAAGAGAAAATGTTGCTGCACCGAGATAATGAGCGATTTTCTCTGCCAGTAAAATAATTAGTAAAATGTGAAAGTGAATGAACTACACGTGTAAAAGCCTGCAGCAGTCTGATTCAGGTGTTGTCCTAAAGTTAATCAGCTGGGATCAAATGACAGAAAATATAAATTAAATAATTTTTTTAACAGTTTGATAATTTTCACATCTCAATGTCGTCCCCTTGGATTGCATTACTCTCCGACATGTGATGGTTGACCTTTGACACTGAGCCAGGATTAGCAGTGGCCCAGCTGGCACAAGATTCACCCTGAAGTTTCTATTCTTAAATGACCAAAAATGCACAAACCTCCTGTGGAAGCTGTCGGGGGAAGTTTCCAGAGGGAGACATCAAAAATAGAGCAGAACAAAACTGAACTTTAAGAGTATTTGTATTCAAACTATAATTGGAATAGATTTCGAATTCCCATATTTCCTTATATTCCTAATGCTGTCAGTACAAACTAAGGCAGCAGGAAACGTAGTTTTAAACAGCTCTATATTGGATTATTATCACGTTGATCTTCAGATCAGTATATTGACCTTGAAGAAGAGTTTAGAGGTCATATGTAGTGTGACATTTAAGATTTTTATATATTATGGTACACACCACACGTTTCAGTTGCCCATGGTTAACACATGACCTCTTTGGTGGAGGTAATAAATTCATTGAATTTACTGAATGTAATCTTTTGTTACTTACATTGTCTCAAATCTTTGCTTTCATTTTCTTCTTCATTTTTTCGGATTATTACCAGAGTCAGAAACCTGAAGGAAGCCACAATGTCTGAGTGAGTATGTTTATTCTGTGTAAAACACTTTGAAAGAGCCAATCAGGATATCACATTCATCATTTTGTGAGGAGTTTACATCAGAATACTCGAATGTTGTTTTAAATATGTCGCGTCTTTATGAATTAAAGGGGAAAGAAGATGACTTCAAGCCGCAGGCATCATCTCAAGGTGAGACTCTGTTAAGATTATCAGCGCTGCATCTACATGGCCCCAAAAGTAAATGAAGCAGCATCAAGAACAACAGTACAACACACAGCAGTAATAATGTGGAATCTCTTTGTCGTCCTCTTTCAGAGTTTAATGCTGCAAATCGCTGCCAACTTGCTCGAACAGGAAGCTGCTGAAATCATCGTCACCAAAGAAGCTTACCTCGCAGAGAACTGTGCCGCCCTCGACCTGAGCAGAGACCAAGCAGCTCTGATGGTAAGAACGTCAACCTCACTCTTACATGATGGGCTGTTTATATGACAACAACTGCATCTGTTTTTTTTTCTTTTAATTCTCGACAGGACTTCTGCAAAAAGCTGCATCAGGCCATTGATAAGATTGATGAGGAGAGATACGACACCCAGGTCAAAGTGGAAAAGGCCGACAAAGAGGTGGAGGATTGTGTGCATCTGTCCTCCTTTTAGCAGATTGTGTGCTGCAGTATACTGCGTGGGTCTGTGTTTATCTGCTCTGTTCAGCCTTTGAGCTTCTCCTTTTGACTTCAGATCAATGAACTGAAGATGAAGGTCATCGAGCTGGCCGGAGTGAAGAAACCAGCCTTGAAGAAAGTGCGTATGAGTGCCGACGCCATGCTTAAAGCTCTTCTGGGCTCCAAACACACGGTAAACATGGACCTCAGGGCCAACCTGAAGCAGGTCAAGAAGGAAGTGAAGGAGGAGGTGAGTGTTTGCAGGCTGATTGTTTAAGAGAGCTAAAAACAGTTAACTGTTGCTGATGGTGGGCTGTGTTTGTGTCCTGCAGTCTGCTGAGGTGGTGGGCGACTGGCGCAAGAACATTGAGGACAAGGCTGACAGGAAGAAGATGTTTGAGACCTCTTAAAGACTTTCTCATCCAACTTTTGTTTTGCTCATTCTGGGATGTTACAGCTCTTCTTCACTGTTGCCTCTGATCTCTTACGTGCAATTAAATGTTCTTTTTGGAATAAGGCAATGCTGTGAAGCTGCACTTTTTTCAAGGCGGTCTTTTTTTATTTTAACGGCTAATTTAAGTTGGGCTAATTTATACGGGCTGTTGTATATTCACTTACTCCTGAGTTCAATCAGGTTCAATCAGAAATCTAAAGCAGAAAAAGCTTTTTTTTCCAGGTGTAAGATGACTTTAACATAACTTACATTTCCAAATAGGCAGTTAGAAACTGAGATGTGTTGTGCTGATGTTGAACCACCAGATGTCAGTAGAGAGCCCTTTCATCCTTTATTTGCTGGCTCCGTTTTCTTCTTTTACATCTTCTCTTTTTAGTTTGAGTCCTAGAAGACTCAGCTATCTGACTCAAGACTCAACTTTTTTTCGTCATACCTGGAATTTACTGCTCAATCGTTTGTAATCAAATCATATTTGATCACCAATAAAGCTGCAGCCACACAGAGTTCTACAAATGGTGAGTGCTGTTACTCTTTTGACCTTCATCACTCTTTGTTTAACCACTGCATTCAATTTGTCTTCATTCCTTACAATATTTACAGTTTTTATGTTAAATAACTCGTATAAATTAAGTAGGGATTTCTCAACATAGTTTATCAGGTATGTTTAGATGTTTAGATATCTTTCCATTTGTGAATGTCATGGCTGAGAGGGGAACAGCTAACAACGGTTGTGTTAAACATCAGAAATTGTTTTTTCCTAAACTTTCAAGTGTTTCTCTTTTGATTTAAAGTTCTAAGGAAGAATGCAGTCAATCAGACTGTTTTCAGCTTCTATTAACAGTAAATCAACAATAATAACAATAAGTCATCGTTAATGCATTCAGTGATAGAAACAGAACATAAAGACCAGAAACAAAACGATGATTGGTCAAGTTACATTCCCTGTCTTACTTTCACTTTCCTGATTCCCTCTCATAGGCAGCGACCTGGTGTGATGAATTTCAAACTTAATGTGCATTTAAAAAAAAACCCTCAAATACTAATATTTGGATAGTCAAAACAAAATCGAACATTTAGTACATTCGTATTGAAATATTAGTGCTTATTAATGTGCTTATTATAGGTAGTAGCACAGTGTAGTACATCAGTATTATACTGGTGTTGCATCTATATGTGGTAAGCATACATATCAAACCATCAAACATTATTTCACTGTTAGGATAATAATATGGCTTATATAATTCTTTTTTTATTTGTAATGTAATCCACCAAAAACTGAAGGAAGGAAATTTTCTTGCGATTTCCGTCTGTAAGCAAAGAGGAAAAAGCCAAAATGATGCCAAATTAGTTGTTTTGCTTCATTTATACATTTTAACTTACATTTACACGTTAATTTGTTTCATTTAAATATTAGATTTTTATTTATGACTTTTTTAAAATTTTACAAAATATATGTCCAAATTTCAAAATGACCATCAGCATTATGGCTTCAAGCACATAAAACTCATCAGTATTAAACTGTCTTCTTAAGTCAGACTTTGTTTGATGCCATTTTGTCAGATTTAGTTTTGTTGTAGTTTTTCTGTTTTTGTTTGCTCTGTATTTGGCACACTGACTCTACCAAGGGTGTGGAACAAAATCCACGGCCCTCTTTGCTCAAAGAGCTGATTTTAAGTTGTACTGGCTGTCAGTTTTTATGGTTTGATTTTGTGTTTAGCCTCTTAACGTTCACCACGTCACCGGTGGCCCATCGAGGGTGATGGTTCTTTTTGTTTTGCAACATTCACACAGTTTATAGGGACATTTGCTGAAATTACAGGATGTTACCTTTGACATACAGTTGTACTTTCATTTCGGTATTAGCATTTTAAAAAGGGGTGAATTTAATTCACCCTCCCTCTCCCCCTCACCCCTACACTTAACCCTTAACCTTAACCCTGGACAGGACATCAGTGATGTCATGTGTGTGAAGAGTAACTTGGTGCTGAAGCCTCATTTTAACGACAGCTGAACTTGATTGTGTCTAACAGCTTCAAATGCTGTTCTCAGAGCTCAGTGGGAATCAGTGAGATTGAATTACGTCAGCCACTCCGTTTGACTGTTGTGTGACAATTGCTTCGTCCCTCCACTGGCCTCTGCGGGTGGGAACCTGATAGCGTCTGTCCAGCCTCCCGTCCAGCCTCTCATCCAGGGAGGCGACTTCCTCCAGTAGAAATTTATGAGGTTCCTCGTGGTATTTCTGGAGCCTGATGACCCATTGGTCTGAAGTAGCTCTGCTACCATAAAAAGGGCTGGCTTTCCTGCTGAGCCAGCACTTTATAGCCTATATACTCTGTTTAATCTTTACTGTTTGAGACTTAGCTGTGTCTCCCTCCCTGTTCTTCTTCCTCGTCTTGCTCAGTAGGTGAGAATTTTCCCTGTAGCTTCACTCACTGTCAGGGAACAATACAGGGAGGGCTGCTCAAGAGGTGGGGGGTCCGGGCATTCTGGAGAGGCTTTTTAAGCACGAAGGACTAATTTTCTTGTTTTTAAAGATGTTGCTGCAGCTGTGACCTCTGACCTCTGATGTTGTGTTTAGAGAGAAGGAGCAGTTAGCTGGAGCTGACACTTACGATGGCTATTCAGACAGCGGACGATACTGGACATGCAGACGGGTTAAATGTGGATTTTGGTGTTGCAGAGCTTTTATTGATGTTTGCTTTGCAGCTTGCATGCTGTTGAGGAAACTGTCAAGATTTGAGGCTTGAAGCAATGTTCAAAGATGCGTTTGTTTTACCACTTTAGCTTAAATCTGCACACAGAGTTGGTTGGAGTTTTTGGATATTATAGACCTGCCATTCCTCAAATCATTTAGAGATCACATCAAATCAGGATAGATCATATAGATCATACCATCATGAAAAAAATGGAGAAAATGGTTTTATTTAGAGGTGAAGAAGAGTCGTTTCCTGCACGTTCTGCTGACCAAGTTTAAGGAATGTGTTGTGTTTTTCTATAATCAGTCCTAAATGATTTGAGTCTTTCTATGCATCTTTGAGCTAAATTAGTGACTCTTAGCTCACAGGACTCAGTTTGTGTCTTTTAAGTTGGGCTGTGAAAGTGAGGATTTGTATTTTGATGATGGATGCAGACTTTATTTTTAAAAAAGCCTCATTCTCCAGATGGTGACCTGGGCACACACTTTGGTGCCTGGCATGGCTGCACGATGTTGATATCTGTTAGCTGCTCTTGCTGTGCACTCGCTGCCACACTCGGTTCATCTGCCGGTGACATTTAGTGCTCAGATCGTTGGCTCGCTCCAACAACTTAAATTCCAGGCAGAAATGTCTACAGAGGGGACAACTGTCGAGCGCTCCTGGGTGCCTGACCCCTCCTGTCCAAAATTAGCTGGTTTGTGGCAGTGTGATTTTCCATGATAGTAAAGCGCATCGTGTTTCTCGCTGGAGGTCAAAGGGCACCCAATCAATAACAGGTGTGTCCAGCTGAGCTGTGAGTCAGGCAGAGTCAGGGTTCTGTTACTTTTCACTCCTCGCATTTGACTAACGAGTGTTTTCTGTCTCTGCAGGGTGTGAAGATCACAAACAGCCAAAATGACTGAGTGAGTACAATTTTACTTTTTTCATTTTCTCCTTATTTGCTTGCCTTTTTTCCAAGTCTTCCCCTTCTTCTGTGTTTCTCCTCCTTCTCCTTCCTCTTCTTCTTTACCTCCTTTTGTCTCTCCCCCATCTTCTTCTTCTTTTCTTACTCCTGCTTCTGGTTCACCTTCTTTAAGATGATTGCACATGAAGCACTTATCAGTGAGAGTGAGAGGTGCTGACAGGTGGATTTGTATTGTCAGGTTTGCTGTGTGGCAGACGGGTTTAGGACCAAAACACAGAACTCCACAGACAAAATGTAAACTCCAAAAGCAGCTTTATTGCAGAACCTCAGAAATTAGCCACGAAACACACGAGGCACACAGCTTAAGGGAGAACATGACAAAAGGGAAGGGACGACTGAGACAATAAATACACACAGAGGATAACGAGGGAACAAGCCAACTGAACATGACACACACAGGACAAGGGACTATCAAAATAAAACAGGAACTACCTAACAGTGAGACCTGGACGAAGACATATGAGCTTGACACAGAAACACAAGCACCGAATAATGTGACAAAGATGATCACAATTAAAAGCTAAAGAAAACTCAAAACAAACCCCCAACCCTGGGTCAGCGATCCATGACATCTATAGCTTCGCGCAGAAGCAGATTTTGTAGACATAGAAAGGTGTTGCGTAAAATAAGGAACTGAATTACCAAAATGCAGAAAAATTACAGTCGGTCATTTCAGCTCTGATGGTAATTTTCTAATCTCTGTCTCACAGGGGAAAGAAAATGACGTCCAGCCGCAGGCATCATCTGAAGGTGAGGCTTAAACTTTTTGTTTTCTAAAACCTTTGAATTTTTGGAGGCTCTCTCTTCACTTTGCATGTTTTCGTCTTCCTGCAGAGTTTGATGCTGCACATCGCCGCCAACTGGCTCGAGCAGGAGAAGACAGACATCGCAGCAGCGAAGGAGGCCTACTTGGCTGAGAACTGCCCACCTTCTGACCTCAGCGGAGACCTGGCTGCCCTTACGGTTAGAACGAAACTGTGTCATATGCTTACACTTTCTTATGACCACAAGAAAACATCGGGGCGTTTTCCTCATTGTAGTGGAGCAGGTTGCAAAAAGTTGAGTTTAGGACATCAGAGGAAGGTGAAACATTTGTGTTATGAGCCGGTTAAATCTTACATTCCATTACATGTCCGTGATTAAAAGGCTATGAATATTTTCTAAGCAGTTATGTGACCTTATTTTACATTTAGCTGAAATTCATAATTTTCAAAACAAAAGTATTTTAATGCAATGTACTGATGCCGAACCATTTATTTCTTACAAATTCATGTTTTAGCTAGAAACCACATCTATGAGGTAAAAGAGAAATAAACATGAAATATATATAAAATAGAGGAATTCAGATAAATACCTCCAAAGTGAACATCCATGCTGACTGCTAATGAAAAGCGTTCGTTCTGCACTTTAAAAGGACGCCTGCAAGAAGCTTCACGCCGCCATTGACAAGATCGACGAGTCGAGATACGACACCGAGATCAAAGTGCAGAAAGCCGACAAAGAGGTGAGAGTTTGAGCGAGATTATGGAAAACTCACTTTACTTTTAGATGTTTTTAATCTTAATGTCATCGTGTGTGCATGCTTTATTTCCAGATCTAGTTCCTTTGATCATTCTCGACTGGGTAGGTGTAGATTTCAGTGCTAAATATCAGAATCAGAGGCTCTAACACTACTGAGTGACGACTGTGTCGACAGTGAGCAGGTCTTTTTTACTCAAAAAGTATGAATTGGAACTATTATAATGCATGTTGAGAGGCAGCTGGATAAGTATGAAAAAGCTGGAAGGAAAAAGGAGGCGTAGGTTTGATATGAGGGCATTTTTGATTTTCATAAAAGTCTGAAACTCAGTTAACTGTGTGCTGCTGGAACATGTTTCATGTGTTTAAAATGGTTTTTATATTCCTAGCTGCTAAATCAGTTCAGGACTGTAGGGGGCAGACGTCTGTCCCGGTTTTCATAGGTGATAGTTACAACCAGGACAGGTTGGCAGTCCATCACAGAGAGACACACAACCATTCACACTCACGTGAACGGTTCACACCAGCTTAGAAACCTGGATGCCTTTGGTGTGTGGGAGGAAGCCGGAGTACCGACTGGCTGCTTTTGCCAGCTTTTAACAAACGATTCTCGACCTCCAGATTGAGGATCTTAAGCTGAAGGTGATCGAGCTGGCCGGTGTGAAGAAGCCCGCCCTGAAAAAAGTGCGCATGTCTGCAGACGCCATGCTGCAGGCTCTGCTGGGCTCCAAACACAAGGTGACCATGGACCTGAGGGCCAACCTGAAGCAGGTCAAGAAGGAGGTGAAAGAGGAGGTGAGACACGAGGCTTTCACAGCAAGGAAATCGGCTTGTTTCATCATCACTGTGTCCTACTGCTGCAGCTTAAACAACTTCAGGATTCAGTTTAACTCACTGGACCAAATTCATCGAAAGAAACAGAGCGTAGCCACGTGTTAGGAACTAATCTGAGGTGAACGCTGATTCAGCAGGTTTGCAGAGCTTCTCTCCGTCATTATCACGCGTCACGTTTGGCCCAGCAGCTCGATACAGTGGATCTCGAGTGATCTCATTATTTGAATAAAATAATTTAATTATTATCTAAATTTAAATGATTTCTCTCTCTTCTCTAAAACTGTAAATCAGATTTCTGCAACACAAAAATAAAAGAAATAAATAAAACAACAGTTTTACAATGCACATAAAAAATGATCATCAGCAGTGAAGTTAGGCATGACATGCGAACCGTTATAGAGATGAAAATTAAAACATAGAGGCCTAAACATTCAAATATTGTACAAGTTAGTATTTCTCTTAAACTACATTTATTTATTTTCATTTTTATTTGTTGCACATGTTTTCATCTATGCACAGCTATCATTTGGGAGTCAGGCAAGCCTCAGGCAAAAGTGTAAATGGTTATGGCTCTGTTATTATAGTTTTGGATTTTCTAATTAGTTTTATTTATTTATTTTGTTTGTTTTTTAATTTTATTTTGAAGTCAGTTTAGTTCCATTTAGTTTCCAGATCAGTTTAGTTTTTATTGTTTGAACATATTTTGCTTTTTTTCAGTTACTTCAACCACAGATTTTAAATGTTATAGGTTCAAGCATAAAATAGAAAAAATATAAAACGTTTGGTCTCAGTTTGAGGTGTTGACGAGTTCTCCTCATTCTTTCCAGCCTGCAGACGTTGGCGACTGGCGTAAAAACATCGAGGACAAGGCCGACAGGAAGAAGATGTTCGAGAGCTCCTAAAAGCCGCCTGGATCGGCGGAGATGGTGGAGGTCGGCGGGGACGTTTAAGACTGAGGTCTGAGTGACTGAAGGTGTCTCTGGGTCTCATCTGGACCCTCAGGGACAAAAGTTCAGACAGTTTCTTGATGATTTTTTGGCTGTTGCGCGTCAGAGAGACTGAACAAAACAAAGTGAATTGAACTTCGTCTGCAGTTGAAACATCTGGCAGAGAAACGTCAGTTCAAAATGTACAGCTTTTCATGGAATCGTTAGCAATAAAAGTTTTGAAATAAGGATTAATTTGTTGCTACTTGTATCCACTTAGTAACACTTTAATGTCCTTCAAATTGATTCCTTAACATTTTCACACTGACACTTCAAAGAAATTCGATTTTTGACAAATTTATTAGAAAAAAAACCATTTAGAGGACCTGGGCTCGTTCTGAAAGAGGAAAACTCATTTTCAGCTGAGAGAAGAGATTCTCTGACATGACTTTTCCAGTCTGCAGCATAAAAACTATAAAACTGATAGTTAAGTCTGATAGTTAAGAGAGCAAACAATGAAACTTATATAAATGATACTTCTTTTAAAAAAGTAATTACATTTCTAAATGCACAATAACATTTACAAAAGTTGAACCCAAAAGTTGAACCCAAAACATGTTTTCAGAGAGCAAGCAAAAAAAAAATCCTTTTTAGATATTTTCCACACAAAGAAGCAACGATTCAACCATCTCGTCTTTCTAGTTTTCAAACAGTTTCTGCATGTAAAGAAAAAACATCTGATTCCAAACAGTTTAAACTTTAGACTACTGAGATTATTGAAGTAAGTTCATCTTACCCTGTTGCAAGTAAAAAATCATGTTGCAGAAATGTTCACATGTTGGAAGCATTTCCATGTTTTTATTTTTAAACTATGTTAGCGTAGCTTTGTGTAATTTGTGGCTCAAAATAATCCTTCTTTAAATTAAGCTGGACTTGGTGTAGCCCCTCATTTTAGGAACTTTCTTCTGATTGGCTGTGAATCTCAAACAAAAGCTTTGATCAGCAGGTGGGCGGTGCTTATTTGGTCAAAGGGAGAACTTTGTGATGACCCTGTTAGGGCTAGCCAAGCTTAATGACATCATTCGGAGCCAATAATAGACACTTGTTTTGTAAACCCGGGTGTTTAGAGGAATCTGCAGCCTAAACTTTAAAACACATACACTGTCCTTGTTATTTGAAATTTTGGCCACTTTTCATAGAAAAATTCAAATTAAATAATTAAACAAAATACATTAAATAGTAAAGAAGGAAACACATAATAATTTAACGTTGGGTTTTACAGGAAAGCTGAAGCTTTCCATTTGTTGTGATGCTGCAGGGCTTAAAATGCTCCTTTTGAGTTAAAGATCAAAACATATATTAAATCTGTCCAAAGCCTTCTGAAGACATAAAAAGTGTTCTGTTCATTCTCCTTTAAGTTTATTCCATATACACAAACACAGCATGGAGGCATGAAGGGTTCTCACAGGGAGGGCGTTTTGCAGAGCAGGGCTGGGCCGGGTGTATTTCAGGAGCTCGCAGGCCTATTGGTCTGCCTGGGAATCCATTTCCATAAAGAGGATCTGGGCATTTTGCTGAGGCATCGCAAACCACCATATATACCTATTTCATTTTTCACTGTCTGTGGCTTTGGCAGTGTCTCCTTTTCTTCCACCAAGTGTGTCCTGTCCTCTTCTTCCTCCTCTCAATAGGTGAGAAATCTTCCTTACTTTATCTTTTTTCTTTTTCTAATATCTCCAGCATCTTTGAGCTTCTCTGAGAGCAGCATCTTCTATTTTATCAGATAGAATAAAAAGATGCTGCATGCAGCCACGTCTCAAAACGACTGTGTTTAGAAAAGACATGATTTAAAGCAGGATTACAGCTCTGACTGTTCCTCACTCAATCCAAGTGGCTTCTTTACATTTGTTGGTGACATTTGACCTTTTTCTGTCAAACCTAAATTTATATGACGTGTTCAGCTGCTCTGCCTCAGTCTTGTCAAAGACCTGATTTTAGCTGTTTTGCCTCAAATTGTTCATTTACTTTTTGGATGTGCGTACAACAGAAATATGAGCTGATCAGAAGGCCTGGAATTACAAAAATCTGATTCTGGTTTGGTAAATATTTTCTGGTTCCCTGAAAATGTTTATGTATAAAGTTAAAAACTGAACAACACTTGAATCGTTAATTAATCTTATATATGTATATATACCCTGCCTAAACAAACAAACAAACAAAAAAAGATGTCTAACCTAATCTTCTAATCAAAAGGTGACATTAATTGGTCATGAAGACATGCTATCAGAGTGCCTCAGAGACACTATGGATAGTTACTAAAGGTTAGCTACTGTCAGCTAGTTCATGATGTCATGTTAGTTAATGATATTCCACTGGAGATCTTTTCAAATTAATCCTTCACTCGATCACGTGTAAACCGCAGAGACGTGACACACGATCCCGGCCAGCCCAGTTTAGTTCAGTTGACGTCGCTGCTCTTCAGCTGTGGCCTCAGATCGCGTTACGGCACAAATATTCCCGTCTATCCATCTCCATCACAGCAGCAGAACATGCTGATCTCAGAGAACCTCACACTGATTATCTGAACATCTCTGGTGTTCAGCAGGGCTCAGAAAGACCTCAACGTTTCCTCCAGTCACTCAGTTTTATGTTTGTCTTACTGCAGGTTGTGAACCCGAAAAACCGCCAAGATGTCTGAGTAAGTGCGAAGAACATCCTGTCTGATTGATGCACACTATACCTCATTTATATATGCACAGAAATCTGCCTCCTTTTAAAGATGCTCCCTTTAAATGTTTAATATCTGGATCCAAAAAAGATGTGAATTAGAAAAATGTAACCTTTACAACTATTAATGATCACAACTTCCTCTCAAACAGGAAAAAGATGACTTCCAGCCGCAGGCATCATCTCAAGGTAAATAAGGATTATGAAAAAAAATTGAGTTCTTCTGCTGCTGCTGAGTATGTTTGAGTGCAGACCATTAAACACGAGACTTGTTTGATGATGATTTCTGTCCTGCAGAGCTTGATCCTGCAGATTGCTATGAACTGGATCGAGCAGGAGAAAAAGGAAACCGAGACGGCCAAACAGGCCTACATGGCCGAGCACTGTTCTCCTCCAGACTTGAGCGGAGACCAGGCCGCCCTGATGGTGAGAGATACGTCAGGGTTTATCTGAGAAAAAAGAAAGAATAAAATGTTTCTTTTAGTAGTTCAGGAAACAATCAGCTACTATAATAGCCTTTTTCCCTGTATTCATTTAATTAATTAATTTATCCTGTTTATTACTGTATTTATTTCATTATGTTGTTGTTTTGAGTAGAAACATGACTGTTATTATTATTTTGGCATTTAAGTGCCACCATAATGCAGCATGGAAACTGGACACTTAAAGGATGCTAATGAAATGAGAAGCTAGCCTGAACTTTGCTGCTGTAATTCATCATAAACATAAATTACCTGAAAGTGTTAAGTGAAGCACCGAGTGACCTGCTAACATTAGCACTCCTCTGCCAGAGGAATGTACATCCTTTAGCACCTAGCTGCTTTGATCAGCATGGCTAGCAACGCGGTAACTTGCATGTCTCTTCCCGTCTTGTGTACTTTTAGAAGCAAAAGTAGTTTAAAACTTTATATGAGCTTGAAACAAATGATTTACTCACTGGTTTTGTTACTTTAACAGCACTTTTGATATAAAAAGGGAAGGCCGTATAACTCTAAAGCTGTGGGAAGATCATCTTCTGGGGTTTCTTTATGCATCAACAGGAACTCTGCAAGAAGCTTCACGCCGCCATCGACAAGATCGATGACGAGCGGTACGATGCCGAAGCCAAGGTGCAAAAGACTGACAAAGAGGTAATCTTCCTCTGGGAGCATAACAGGATTAGAGTGGCCTCTAAAAAGTAAAGAAGGGTAAATATAACACTTTCTTTCTGTGCATAGATTGAAGACCTGAAGATCAAAGTTGTGGACCTGATAGGAGTGAAGAAGCCTGCCCTGAAGAAAGTGCGTATGTCTGCTGACACCATGCTGCAGGCTCTGCTGGGCTCCAAACACAAGGTGACCATGGACCTGAGGGCCAACCTGAAGCAGGTCAAGAAAGAGGTCAAGGAGGAGGTGAGTTCACAGACAGAGGGTGGTTTTGTCAGGATAAATCGACATGTTTGCACTTTTAGTTCCAGCAGTGATGGATTTTTATTCTTTCTTTACATCACTGACTTTACTGATGTGGTGCCAGTAAACCTGTTTTAATATCTATGAAGCAGCTTATCATCAATGTGATGACCCTACACTATCAGAATATTATATATAATGTTCTCCAAAGTTTTGGCATTCATGACAAAATAATTCTGACATGCACCAAAAACTGTTGGTGACTTGGACGTCAAAGCGTCACGCGGTTAGACGATACACCGTGGCCTTTGAATTCCAGGCTGAGATTATATTGCAGATTTCAAACATAAATCAATTTTTACACAGCCAAAAATAATATGCACACCCAGGGAAACTTGGCGGCAATCTGGAAGAGAATGCATTTGGACTTCTGATCAGAAACGAGCACTGGAGCCTTGTATATCACACATTTGCTCACAGATGAAATTAAAAAGCATTTTTTTTCTTAATTTCTCTTAAATCTGTAATTAACAACTGAATCATATTTGGTCCACAAGTTTTTGGAGGACGTTTTGGAGACTTCTGCATCTTTTGTGTGTTTTTTTTCCTGAAAAACTTGAATAAATCTCACAGTTTGTGATGCAAAGTAAAACTCATTCAGGAAATTAATATTTATTTTTTTTAAATTATTAGGAGTAGCATAATAAAGACTGCTTTTTCAAAAAAAAAAATTAATTCCTGTCAATTATTTCATCAGTCAGTCTTTACAGTATTACAGAATTTTTCTACTTCTAGAAACATAAAGTCACATGTAAGGCATGTAAGGGCTGGTTTTCCATGTGTCAGCTGTCAAAGTGCAGAAATCAGCTGATTAAGTTCAATCACCTCTCTTTTTAATAAAACTAAGATGTCTAAATTCCCGGTTTGTTTGGACTAACTCTCTGCTTCCTGTCCTCTGCAGCCTACAGAAGCGGTGGGTGACTGGCGTAAGAACATTGAGGACAAAGCTGACAGGAAGAAGATGTTCGAGGCCTCCTAAATGTTTCGCTGCTCTGCTTTGTTTTTCTGTTTACATGAACTCCATGTGTCCTATTTGTGCTGGTGGAAGAGCGCGTTTGCTTTATGTCACACAGGTCTGAAGAGCAGGTTAGCAAATCTGAGAGGCGGGGAGTTGAATTTACCTGAGGGTTGTTATTTTGCACTTTGTCGTAGTCTGGAGGGAGGGGAAGGTTCACACACCAACACCAAGTCTTCAACTCCACACAGTCGGGGAAACAATCGCACACAATGTTCATTATACACAATAAAATCACGTGTCAGAGACAATCATGCTGTTTTTGTCTTTTTTTTGCCCAACTTTCATCATCATCATATTTACAGGATCACTGTAGAGGCTGAAGTTTAAATCTTTGTCTGAATCTGTTTTAAAGCTTTTACCATGATGCCAGGAAGAAACTCTGATTCCCACCTTTATGTCTTATCTTTGTTATCCAACCTAAATGTCCTCAAATTAAAATGAATTCTTAAAACAAGCCTACCCTATACATGATCAAAGAAATCTTGGTTCAAATGGTAACTAATCTGCACAGTCTGATTTTTACCAAAGATTTGAGCTTTTTCTTCATAAATCTATGAAGTTTTAATTGCTATGAGGTTGTATTTTATTGTTTTTATGAAATAAGTTGTGGAATAATTCAGATTCCGTACAGTCAGAATAGGACACCTAAGTTTGGTTTTTAGATTTCTCACCAGTGCTGCTAAATGCAACCGTTGCTCTCTGTTGTGTAATTTATGAACCATTAATGCATCTATCATATTTTCATGGTGTACTGTAATTGTATGAGCACAGTTTTTTATTTAAAAAAATAATAATGGGAAGAGGTTTTGGTTTATATTAGCTGCAGTTTATTTGTGGAGTGTTTAGATTTCCAGCATCAGGTCCATCAGTACCAGCAATTTGTTTTCTGTCTTTGTCCTTGAACGTTTTGAACTTCTTCAGCCATTTGTTGGATCGTTTTGAATCACCTCATTTTCTGATGTGATTCAAATCTTTTGTGAAGCTAAATTGAGGAGAAATGTTACATTTAAATAACCATAAGGGTCAAACAGTGACAGAAAAACAGCATCAAAGATCTAGATTTCTGCATTCAGCACCAAGGCTTATAAGACAAAAGTGTGAAATATGGATTTCTAGAGCAGACCTTCTTGACAGCATTAAACACTAGCAGCACTATCTCAACCAACTGCATGAGTCTGGAATTATTTCCATTTAACAGCTGAGCCTTGTCAGTATGTAAGTGGTGGAGTTCCTTTCTTCCTCAGTGTTATTAGAGAGCAGCTGTTGTCCCAAGGAAGACCCCCATCCACCAACCGCAAATTATGGCAACAACTGTTCCTCTAGCAACAGTCCATCTTTGTTTCATCACACAAAGGCCCAGCAGTCCATCTCTGAAGCAACCAATAAATTAAACTAGTGAGTTAATTTATTGACATTGTATCTGTTTTTTTCAGTATTTCTAATGTTTTTATGACCTGGAAACATAAACTGCTTTATGGGTTGCAGGGATGTAGAAGGGATGTAGCCGCCACAATGATCAGACAATATTGAGACAAGAAGGTATGTTGTGTAGATAGCTTTTTATAATATGACATTATTTGATATTAAATGTGTAACTACTGAGAAGTGAAATGTACATCCTGGAGAAACTGAGCCATTCTCTGTAGAGTCTTTTAATGCAGCTGAACAGACAACAGCACCCACTAGCTACTCGGAACAATCCTTAATAATGCTGAAATTTAACTGTAACACATTTAAAAAAGTGTTTTGCATAAACATTTACACTGTCAATCAAAGCAGCCAAAACTCTAATTTAAAGTCTTGCTGACATTACTCAGGGAGAGGTTCTTTATTTCATTTTACTTATTTATTTATTATAAAATGTTTTTATTTCTGCTGTAAAGTTATAACCTGGGAGTTTAAATGCACTGGCTCGCTTTTGGAGTCTGCCTCAAGTGGACATTAGAAGAATTGCAGTTTTTGGCCACTCAAATTTTCATCCAGCATTTGCTGCAATTAAGTAAGAGCAATTTGATGGGTGTTTTTAGGTGTACCAGCACAAAATACCTTGTTTGTCATGTTTTTATTTGACGGTAAAGTTTGATAATGATCAGTACTGTTTTGAGTGTATTTAAAAAATATTAAGAGAACTCTTCTTATTAAACACAAAGTCCTTCCTCATCTCAAATTGTCTGATCATTCAGGTTTCCTCTCTAACTTTATAGGATATTTTAAAGTGCCTTGACATGACTGTTGTTGCATTAAAAAAAAATTCATAAAAAATGAGTGAAGTAAATTTAAATAAGGGTAAATTTGATTAAAAATAAGAGTCATGCACAGCCATCAATCAGTTAAACACTCCATTGAGACTTTAATGATTTATCTCACTGGTTGCAAACACGCCCCACCCTCCCTCAGATGCCCTCACACTCCTTGTATGGTGCTCTGAGCTCTGCCTCCAGCCTGCCGGGGCCCTCGAGGCTTTGGTTTCTTCAGGGGCTAACTTTATCCCCTGAGACTCATGGGG